TTTTTGTGTGCATGCCCATTGATGACTTTTGTTGGAAAAAACTTTGGCATGCCGACAATTCGGCGCCAGATTAATTTAAACGACAGTCCTTTTCCAAAAATTTCTAACAGCTTCTGCTGGAGCCTGGGAACCAAACCCAAGTTTGATTCCCAGGCCCAGCAAGGACATCTTCTGAATAGATTTCTTAATCCGCGTCCTTCAGCAACTCTTTTCCTGTTCTCCAAATTCAGCATGATTTTCATCACTTGCATTTGAATTGTGAACCTGAGCAGATCTCCGAGCAGAGAAGCTTTTTCGTCTCGCAACAACTCCGAATTCCGAAATTCTGACCAAGTGTTTATCATCAAACGAAATAAAACTCATTCCAACTCGGACTTTGTCCCAGCTGATTTACTTAGCTCATATTTGTACTTCTAACTCTTCGCTCTCGCGAAAAGAAACTTCAACCTTTATCTTCAATTCAATCACTTCTCTCTTCTAACTATCAATCCATTCTATATCGCATTTTTCAGCTTGTGAGTTTGTCTGTTTGACATATCTTTTTCTCACACTTGTTAGCTTTCGACCTCTCACATACGAGTAATGTTTCCATTTTTCGTGCACATCATTCAAGTGTCATCGGCTCATTATTTGATGCTTGCTTGAAACACTTCAGGCAGATTGTGGATGAAATATGAACCTTGGGCCGTCAGTTTGAGGAAACATTTGGAGAAGAACATCGTTACAATGCTTAATTACGGTAGTTGTTTAGGACGCAGTCGAACAAAACGAAGAAATCTGACGAGAGTGACAGCACAGATTTTGCTTGACCTGTTTTATAAAAAAAGAAATACGTGTACTTCAAAAAACGTAAGAACGCCTTTCATAAAAAAATGGAATGATTTCCGTGGACATTGATAATGATAATAAATTTTGGCGAGAGAAGCCAATTAATTTATTAATAATATAATTCCTGCTTTCTAAGGTTAAAAGAAGTCTACAACAGTTTGCTATCGAGTTTTATATTATTTAGGTCCTAAAGCTGAGGTAATATGCTGAACGTAGTTTGCCTTCAATAGTGGTACAAGACTGACGAAGTTAGGAAACCTTTCACTCAAATGGCGTTGCCGCTTTCTGAAGAAAAATTCAGCGCCTTTTTCATGCTTGAAAGCCGCTGAAACTGCCAAAATTTCAGAAGGAGAGATTTCGTCTGTATGAATTTTTTTTCGGGCGTAAAAATTCGAGCATTAAACTTAAGTATTATTACTGTACATCTTCAACCGAAAATAAATCTTCGAAACATTGACACAGAACTAATCTACTTCCGGATGACTTGAAGTATCTGAAAAAGCAATTACTTCTTACTGAGAAAAACAATCATATCCTCTGTGTGAAGTCTGTATCTCTTTTTCTGAACAAAAATCGAAAAAATGGTTCCCGATCTCACCAAAGAAAAAACCCTATTCCCTTTTTCTCCATAGAAGACAATACATGAAACGTATCTGGCGAAGAGCTTTGATTTGGGCTGATGATTAATTTTCCTCCTCGATCCTCGTCTCACGTTATTTGTGATTGACGTCACTACGAGATGAATGGGACATCATTATTCTGATGTCCTCCTAAGAGAAAAAAAATTCTGCACAGATATTTCGCACATGGAAATGAAAATACATAAAGAAGAAATATATTGTCTCATCGAAGCATTAAAGGTTTAATCGCGGTGTGGCAGTGGTTTTTTTGTGGGTTTGCTTCAGAGTCCATATTTCTAAGCATTCGCACGAACTCCCTGAGGAAGGAGGTGATTCACAACTGTCAGGGGCATCATTCATTTATGTCACAGGAAAGCTTCGCATAATTTACTTTATGAGAATACCGCAGTGGATGAGGAATGTTATATGGGACACAAAAGGTTCATTCATAGGTCACGCGTTTTTTTTTTCGTGGTTCCGGTGCTTTCGCTCATAACAATGCGTTCTCTCGACTTAAACCCCCATTGCTGGGATTTTCAAAATTCCCTGTTATATGCAAATTTTAGGAATCTGGGTTCCACGAAGTTACCACATGAGCTCCTTGTGATTTTTTTAATGGGGCTCCGCGGGTGCTCGAGAAAAACTGAAGTTATAGTTAAATTTTAAAATTAAGGATATCTCAAGCATCAGTATTTAGACGTATTGAGGCTATATTCGCATGATTGTGTCATTGTTTTTCTATTTAAAAATACTTGGACGTCAGTTACTGATGAAGCCTTCATTTTCAGATTTTTTTTAGCGACGAAAACGGCTTGAATATAATCTTCAAAATCTGGATCCTCGCTTTTTGATTACGCTGAAGCTTTGGGAAGAAGCCTTCAAAAAGATTCTGATAGGATTTTTGTAGGATTTTCGCGGTTCTTCCCTTTTGCTTCATTTAAAACCATGTCACTATATCCACGATTTCTCTTTGTGTCATCCCCTCTGTCCAAACGAGGAAATCAGAGGATGAGTTATTCTTCAGAGATGGAAATAAAGTCGCGATAGAAGCATGATGCAGCATGCATTGTTAAGCTCTTTTCTTGGAAGAAGGAAATATCTTGGGAATACGTCCCTTACTGGCATTTTACGCTTCCTTATTCATAGGAATGTGGAAACGGGAGGGGGGGGGGAGAAGAAAGCAATTTACTTTTTCTCTACTGGAATATTGAACTGCAAGGAAGGGACGTTTTTTCCGCTGCATTCATTTTTTTCTTGAGCAATAATTAATATGACCTGCTTCCCACGAATCTCGTCTTCCTCTTCATTCTTGTCAAAAGCTTCGTAGACTGTCCGAATAGTCCAACCTTCTTAAAAAGGCAAAATCGGTGCCAAAGAGAAGGAAATTGTTACACGAGGAAATTTAAAAGTTCAAAAACAGAGAGAATCTCATGAAACAAAAAATGAAATTTTTTTTAATTCGATTGAAAAAAAAAGAAAATTATGAGCCTAATTTTGGAAGGTTCCCAAAAAGGAGTGCTCAAAAACGCATGGAGTAAAAGTTGTCCAACATGGAAAATATATGGAAATTTCTGATTGAAATTTCACCCAGAGTTTTCCTCCGAATCTTTAAAAAGCTCCTGAATAGCACCAGTTCAAAAACAGGGAGCTGGATTTCTTTAATACAATCAAATTTCATTCAACATTCGAACACATGCGTGTATACAGAAATACTCTTTGTTTCTGGATGCCCAATTCGTGCACATGGCAACAAACCCTGCCAATTTCCTTTTCGAAATTTGAGTTGCCTTTTCCAGGAAAGTCTGCTGAAAATGTCTCTTGATGCTCGTAAACGCCAGCATGCCTTGATTAATTTTTGCGTAGCCAGGAGGCGTATAAATTTATTGCACCACCGCAGGTTTAAATGAAAATCAGGGGGGGGGGGGTTGGCGTGCAAAATGATTATACGCGGAAATTTGCAGGTGTAATTTCTTCAATATTTCGAAGGAACAATTTCTACGAAGTGAATTATGGCAATCGAGCAGATTGAGTTAGGGGAATTATCGATTTCTTCATTATCCAGAGTAATTCCCTTCAAAAGTACTACAGTATAACAGAGAAATTTTTTTTCGTAAAGTAATGGAAGAGAAACGCGTCTATACATCGATGTTCCACGAAAGTATTCCATTTTTCAAAATGTGCGTCACCCACATAAAAATGACCAATTTTGTGAGCTCATATATAGGCACATTTGGGTAAGTTCAATTATTGGATGAAGCCTATAGTATTTTAGAGTTTCTTTTGATCATGGTTGTAACTTAGGCGAGATCTTTTGCACAGACTAGAAGTCAAGGTCAACCATTGGTAAAAGAACCCTATCATTATGTGAAATGAATATACCAAGGGTTCGTTTTTGCATAAGCTGGTCTTCTCAAATTTTCCGGAGAATTTGCTGCGTTTTCGTCATCTAATGTTATCAAATCTGAATACATAATTGAGAAATAATTTCTGAGCTCATCGTCGATAAAAAAGAAAGACTACTTCATTCCACGCATTTAAAAAAATAATAATAATTTGCCTTTTTGCTCCCAAGTAAAATACATACATTTCATCTGCTGTACAAGAGTCTGCAGTGCTGAATGCGTTTTTTTTCCATTCGATGAATACGGAAAAAATTTATGTAAGCCAACTGAAAGATGAAAATGTTCGCAATTATGGTCAAAGATGAACTATTAAAATAATTACTGTACTCGTAATTCATGGTCTTCTGGCACAACTGCGTCTCTGATAAATCAGTTTCTAAAATTCCCTCAACACGGTCTCTTCACAATTCTTTTTCGGAATACCACACAAAATAAAACACAAAACAATGCATGAAAGCAATGCACTAATTCAAATTGTGTTACTTCAACATGAACTAGGAATCGAGGACGAGTGAGAAGTATAATCTAATTTTAACAGAATATGGAATGGGCTTGCCAAAAAAATAGCTTCCATCGTCATCGTCAGAAATGTGTTGCGTTTGTTCTTTCATATTATATTTATGCCAACCTATAAAAAAAAACCAGTATATCAAGTACCGTATAATGGCATTCATCAATAGAAGATTTAGAATTGCATTATTCCCTTATTTCTCATACATTACTTGAAGCATGCACCCCACTGTGAGGGAATGTTGTCTGACACAGTTCATTGTTCCGTTCAAAATACGCTGTTTTTGTGAAAGGAAAGGTTTTTTACAGGAAAGGCACTCGATTTGTCATTGTGTGTCGTTCTTCCGCGGAAATGCGCAGTCATTGCACGAAAACGATTGTTTCTTGAAGCACCACTGTATTGTTACAGTTATTGTGTTGTGCAATTGGCTTCGTCAGCGACGGGCTTCGTCTAATTTTCCGGCTGACCCCCGTCGTCCTTAACCGAACAATATTACTTCCGCAGACGAAAAAAAATACGACGTACGCGAGCAGCATGAGTCATAAATCCTCCGCGTAGAACCGAAAAAAAAAATCACACACTATATATATATATATAGATAAGAGCAGCAACAGCAAAAAAAAAAAAGGAGAAAAAAGAATGGGCAACAAAGTGTCCTATTCGTCAGCGTCAGACGGCGACCCGACATCCTGGGTAACAGCAGCAGCAGCAGCAACCCAAGCATCGTCCTTCCCAACTGCATCAAGTTCGCATTACCCGTTCGTCGTCGTCGACTACGACAGGGACACCAGCAACGACACGTTTGGCACTCTCGTCGCGCGTGCCGACGACATTTTCGGCGCAGTTTACGACGCCGCCACGGTCTTCGTCACGGCTCCACCCCCACCACCGCTAGCAGCGCTGACGTCGACGTCGCCAGCTGTGACATTTGCCGCCTCGTCGTCAACCGACGCTTATTATGCCGGCGCGGATTTGGCGGATAATCGCACTCGTCAGCTCCTGGGATTATACTGGGCTGGGAACAGTACGACGACCACGACGGCCTTCTGGGACACCGTGGTCACGCAGCAAGTGAGTATATATACCCATCGACACGCAGCACCTGTTCACAAAAAGAGGGATTTTTTTTGCATTTACAGTATGTGTGTGTGTGTTTTTTTGTTGGCGCAGCACTATTCTAAACGACAACACGCGATGTGATTTCGAATGAATTATTCGAAGCTCGATGAACGATAATGCCATTCTCAGCCCCTCAGGCCATTCACTTGATTGCACACAAAAAAAGTGTCATTTCCGTGATTTGAAAAGCCGAAAAGTCGATGATCGAATAGGGGAGGAAATTTGAGCTGTAAATCATCCCCCTTCTTCGACATTCTGGAAGAAACCGAGCTATTTTGAAGTCTGTGAATAACCCATGAAAAGGTGAAGAAAGTTTTGAGGATTTTCCTCTGCGTGATTGTAAGAAGTTCTGGCAGGTGTCCTGATTGAAAAAATAATAATGAACACAGTTTATTCGTGCTTGTTCTCAAGCTTGACTACTTATTGAGCCATAAAGATAGCTTGGAATTTCAATTTTATGATGGAGGTTTTCCGGAGGCATGCAAACTTTAAAAAACGGAATTATCACTTGACTCAACATACTTGTATTCCCATGATTAATTTCATGGGAAAAAACCTACTGAATATCCTAAGGTGATGCGTGAACCGGCCATTTGAAGAAAAAGAGGATTCACAAAAGCAAATTAATTAACCATTGACAAAGGTTTTTTCTTGTGCTGATTCTTTGTTCAATTTTCTAGGGACAAATCATAGAAAATAGTTCTGCTAACGGAATATACGGTAATCTGAATTTTTTTAAATTCTCCGCTTTGTCGCAAAAAGTTCAAGCAAGTGTCCTGGTTTTTTAATAAATAAATATATTTTAATCTAAAGCGTGGGTCTCTAAATGATCTTTGAACTTAAACATTACGTCTGCCTCGGGTCAAGTGGATATACATGCCGGACAATTATTTCTAGGATAATACAAAACCTGGCCGACATCAGCTTCAAGTAAAAATCTACTAAATGTCATATGTTCATCTAAAACCGGTCCTAGCTCTTCTTGGATGATGGACAAAGGAATCCCGTAATAAACTCATCACATTGAAATGCAGGGTCTAAACTTTCTTCTTTCATTAGCCTTTAATCTTTGACTTATTCATATTTATTCTTCTTTAATCTCCAAGTTCTCCTCTTTGATTCATAAACACACTATGGTAAATCTAAAATTAGCGGCATTCACTGTACTTGAGTCATAAAAAGAAGTCGAGTCTGCTGGGCTAGAAAAAGAAATCAATCTGGTTTCTGAAATAAAAATATATAAATGTAGAAGTTCATTCGGAAATTTCAAAATGATTGCTTTAAATTTAAACTCGAATTTTCCGCTGCGATCTTTCTCTTTCAAATTTTGCATAACTGTACAATAGAAGATCCCTGGAACCTCAAGTTCTGACGGGAAATGTAGCTCATACTGCAAATTCTTGATGTGAACTTTAAAACTTTTTTTTCACTGCAATCGCCAGGGAAAACCTATGCCATGTATGATGTTCCAATTCCAGTTTTGGTAATGAAATTACATTTTATTTTTCTTCGTTTTTCAGCCAAATGCGGTGTCATCCTCGTCACAACATTCGACGGGTTCCTTTGAAGCTCAAGTGACGATCGTCACCTATTCCATTATATTCTTCTTGTCGTTCCTGGGCAATCTCTTGGTTCTCGTGACGTTGGGACTCAACCGACGTTTGAGATCCGTCACTAACCTTTTTCTCCTAAATTTGGTGAGTTTCGAACTTTTTTTTAACACATTACTTCCGAATGTCTGAGCAAGGACTCAGCGACGGTTTATTAACAATTATGCGACATTCTATTGTATTTGCTGCTGATTTTTAAAAAATTTTAGGGTGTAGAAGCCGAGTAGCAAATCGAAAAGCGTCAATGAAAGAAGATTTTATTTTTTAAATATGCGCTCAATTTTATGCATGAAAGCGTATCATTTGAAAATTTGCAATGAATATTCTCTGAAAAATATGCTGACTTCTTGATGACCAGGGTCAAAATCCGTTCAAAAACTTCATAAGTTGGAGTCATCGATCGTCAGGCTTATGATGCATTTAAAAACTAAGCACTCGTCAGATTGAACATTTATTCGTGCATTATGCGGTTTGTCTGTCTCATTCTCATGAATAAATATTCTGGACAGGCCTTGAAAATGTCCATCGAGAATCTGAAATTTTATTTTTTCCTTATCTGTAAATTAAGCTGCAATTTTCAATAAGCGTGACTCATTGACAATGGTTTTTTTTTAAGATTTGAGACTAGTTTCTCGTTTTGGTTGCATTCGAGGTACACAGATGACACATACATAAGAAGAGCTATGGGATAGGTCATGATTTTCAGTGCTTTCTCCAAATTTGAACCTGGCATTTGCTTTCTTGGAAGTGTAAATTTGGGAATTGCCTTAAAATGCCTCCCATGAATTAACTTGGATCACTTGAACAGGAATGGACTCATGCTCATAAAACCTGACGATTAGTTGCAGCTAATTGTTTTTTATTGCATGCATACTGAGACACCTGAATTCTCGATGATACTGAACACTTGGACAAATAAAGTGTTGCCTCTTTTGAGAGATTGACGACAGATTTTCTATCTGATCTCTTGTTTTTTGCTTCTTTCAAATGCACTTGAAACTGGAAGTTTTCAAACTTTTAATTCCTCCCAGTTTGTTTTTTCGATAACTGAGGCTGCTGATCACATTTCAGCACTTCGCTGTATAAAAATACTGGATTGATTGAATAATTCCTTCTACATAGGCTACCAACAGTGACGTTTCTCGCAAGAATAAAATGTTTCACCGAAAAGATCAGAACATGAAATCCAGATTAAATTTAGAACCAAAATGAAAAATATATTGTCTGACAGACACAGCCCGGTCACGGAAGCTTTCCTTATCTTTAAAAGAGAAGACTCTCGTCCACTGTATGATTTCGTGGCTGTACTGTATATGAAACCTCAGGCCTTTGTGGGCAAAGGTATCCTCGTCGTCACGATCAGCCTTCAATCCACCAGGGGATCAGATACATAACACGAATACCCAGGTCATGTGTGCAACCATTGACCAAACCTACCCGTTGGCAGAAAATAGCCTCGATCAACGAGTACACGCGCAAAAATGCGATGAAAATCCGTTTTTCTGAAAGGGACTGGTTCTAGAATTTTTTTCTTGATTTTTCCCTCCCAGAAAAGTCTCTGAGGCGAAGGGTAAAATTGGGTTAAGCATGAAGAATGCTATATACAAGCAGCGCTTTTTTTTTAGAGAGAAAAATGAGTCGGCAGGTCGATACTCACTACATTGGAAAAAAAATTTAGGTACACGATCACTAATGTACTTATTTTTCAACCCATGTTTGATAGAAAAAGCATTTATACTCACAAGGAATGATGCGAAATCTTTTGTTGGAATTTTCAACTTGTAGATCTTCGGACATGAAAGGGGGGAAAATCTGAGCCCCAAATCAGAACGTCATATGTTTTACTCAGAGTTATTCTCTGTTCGTGAGCATTTTATTCTAACACAACATGTAATCTCCATATTGTGACATCACTTTCCTGGTGATGGAAGTAAGCAAATATTTTGAACATGCCGAGACAACAATGAAGGACGAAAAATATCAGATGTAGATGGAATTATTCTTTGCATTACAAGGTAGAATGATTTTTGACGAGCAATTGCAGAGGAATTCGGTATTCTTTTTTTTCAGAAAATCACTACAGTATTTGAATAAATTTACGGGACTAAAATTTGACTGGATTTTGGAGCCGGGGGCTTGACGGTAAAAAGTAGGTAGAAACATTTAAACTCAGAATGTGCGAAGTCATTCCGTCCTTGAGAATTTATGAGAATTTATTACCGTCAACGCCGATTTTGGAAAAAAAAAACCTGACATGACTCATCTTAAGATCAGAAAATGTTCCCAAAATTATTTATTTAATTTGAATTATTTTTATCGTGGAATTTTTTGTTGTGGTCAGGTTTATGCTATCATCTCCCTCAATATTACTCAACTTGAAAACATGAGTGCTGTATACGATGTCAATTGTATTTCTTTCAAGAAAGATCGCCTGTCTCTTTACCAAATAAAGTGGCACAGCTTTCTTCCATTAAGCAGTAGTATTGCATATTTCTTTTCTCACGCGATACATCACAGTACAAAAAAAGGGGATTTTCCGTCAGAGAAGAAGATGATTTCTTTTAGTGCTCACAAATCCCTTGATCGAATTCCGAAGAGCACATCTTGGGGAATCTATAGGAGACATTCACCACCGGAGTCGCAAGCCATTTGGTGATGAATTCCCAGTCCACTATAAATAAAAAAATGCTGTGAGTTGATAAGAAGAAAAAAGAACGATGAGATCAAGCCCTATTCAGACTCGCTTGTTGCCCAAGCGTGGCAGACGTAACGGTCCTTAACTTCGCAATTGACGTCACCGAGTTTGTTTGTTTTTTTCATCGTCGGTTGATGTCGATTTTCTATATACGCCCACACTATACTTCAATTATTCGTCCCAGGTGAGAAAACTTTGAGAGATTGCATTTTCTCCCTTCTTTCCAACCTTTGTGCGGTTTTTTGTGTGGGTGGAAAGTTTGGCGAGAAGTTTGTGGAACACCTCGGCTGTCAGCTGTGAACAAAGAACGGCTTCATCGTTTCATTCTGCAAAAACAGTGCTCGAGAAAAAATGAATCATGATTCCGGAAATTGCTGGCTTCCTTAAGCTTGATTTTCCTGTGCATGAGAAGCATTTGGAAAAAACCCATGATGGCGTCTTGAATCTCTTTTCTTTATTGATCCAAAATTAGTGAAGTGGATCCTCTTTAGCTACTGATGCTGTTGGGGACTAGACAAGAAATATTAATAAATAAATTAATAAATCTCCGGGACGCGGCGGGAACAAAAATTAATCGGGTGGAAAACCACCCAAGAGGAAAAACCGCCAGAAGAAACTATAACGAACTTTTTTACCCCCTCTGAAAAATCGAAATCTGGCGCCAAGACGTCTTTGACTCGACTTTGTTGAGCCAATCAGATGCCTTGGCACCAACCCCCATCCTTGATCCACATCCTGGATCAAGGAAAAATCTAGAACAAATCAAATTATTAATAAAAGCTTGATTTCAACAATATATCACTACCAGTTGTGAACAGTTGTTGCTCGGAGCATCTTCCCATGAAAGAGTTTTGCTGAGAGGAAAATTTCGTTGTTTAAACAAACTTGTCTTGTGTTTTTGGGACTTGTAAAAGTTTTTTGAAATATATTTAAAAACTTTTCTTTTGGAATCTGACCAGAGATTCCCTGCCTTGTCCTGGGCGGATTCTGCATTTTTATTCATTTCTCAATCTCACCTAAATATACATTTTATTTCTTTTTAATTTGTGTTGAGATCTTTCTTTATTTAGAATCTTCAACAGATGCTGAGCCAGAATAAATATTTTTTTGACATCATGAAGTCACTTTTTTAATTTGTTGACAAAGCTTCATCCTTTGATCTATCGTTTTCAATGTAAACAATTTAAAAGTTAAATATTATGTTAGTTAGAATAATGTTCATTGAACAAGGCTCTTGCTCAAATCAACGTCAATATACTGTAGAAACGAAAAAAAATTAGCATCTGTGAAAATCGTATTCGAGCAATCCAAGGCGATTGATTTCAAAATTAAAACTTATAATTTCAGAAGAATATCGAACCCATTCCATATTGAAAATGCTTCGAATTCATTTGAATAAAAATTTCAGGCTTTGATTCGCGTTGTAATTAAATAAATTTAGTGCTGGGGAAAAGATTTTCTTCAGTATTCCGAAGTAATTTATCTTTAGCAACGAGATATTGCTAGAATATATTCTACCTTTTTTTCAATGCATTACTAGAAGATTCTGTTACAAATAAATGTATTATTTTTTTTACCATTTTCTTCATGTTATTTCTTTGGGAAGCAGATCTTTCGCGATTCGGTGATTTTATTGTCAATTTTCTTCAACAGGTATTTAAAAATGGAGTTGACATTTAAAAATGTATGAATTTTCCAGTAATTTTGGGGGGGGGGGGGGGGAGAAATCATGAACATTGTTGAAAAAACAGGGAAATCCGTCCAGAAAAAGCCAGCAATTGTTCTCAAAAGATTTCAATTAATGAGCACATTTTCTCAGAGAAAAAATATTTTCAGTATATATATTTTTAGTCGCGAACTTAAATCTTTTTGAACTGATGACAATCAGCAACTCAAATGAGATCAACAATGGAAAAAATCCCTTCACATGATCTTTTTGGTACACACATTTGATGTCAATCTTAAGAGGAGGGCTTTTGTGCATTTCTCCTTTGTGACACTTTCAAATCCAAAGTGTCTCATCAAACTACTTTCCGTGAGTTTGAGCTATTGTACAGTGGAATGTACTGCACCGTGAAGAAATGTATTGCGTATTTGCAACTGCTGGTGTTGACAAGGAAAGATTTCTGATGGCCAAATTTTTAAGTCTCTTTTCTTTTCTTTTCTTTTATTCAGGCTGTTGCCGATTTGCTCCTGGGAGTTCTGTGCATGCCTGCAACACTCGTTGGTTCCCTGCTGAGGGATTTCATTTTCGGAGCATTCATGTGCAAAGTCATTCCGTACTTGCAAGGTATGAAGAGTTATTACCGTCAACACCGATTTTGAAAAAGCCTGACGAGACTCTTAAGATTCCACGTGACAAGGTCTCCATCCAGAGTATTTTTAAATCGTCGTTCAGAGCTCTAAAAGTCACAATCACTCACGAACATGGAAAACTTCTGCTGGCCCGTGTTGATTGAAACCTACATTACTCAATTTCCAAATGTGAGAATGGATATTTTGAACCAGATATTTTCTGACATAATCTACAAGAACGTCAGCGCATTAAAAAAATTCTGCGCATTAAATCTGCTGGATTTGAGGAAAAAAAGGAATTGATGAAATGCTTTGCCGGTTTGCCAAATATTTTGAAGCCCCATCAAAACCAAATTATATTACAGGTCAAATAAGTTGAATTTCAATGGACCAGCAAAACATTTTTACCTGCTGAGAAAGTTTTGGCTTTTTGGGAAGTTTTGACATGGAGAAACAAGCATGTGTGTTGTGGGAAATATAGAAGAATTTCAAAAAACTGTAAATGATACTATTCTGAGCCTTCAATTGCTTCTTTATTGAGTTGACAAGATTCTGAACTTATTGGAGGCAAAGATTATGTTGTCCAATTACTCCTTCACTTCATTATAAAATCATTGAATTATTTTTTATTGCTTTTCCCTTTCCTACTGTGTCAAGAAAATACTAACTAAACTGCCTCAGAAATTTTATTTATGGAGGTTCAAGAGGAAAAGAGCTTGACTCGTCGGGGAGGTTTTCAAAATCTGAGGGGACTTGAAAAAAAAATTGACTCAAGGATGTTGAGTTATTGAGGTTCAAGTGTATATTTTACATCTGTTGAGAGTATCGAACTTTTAAACTCATTTACAACACTAAGAGGCAAAATCAAATACAGTACATATTTTTGATCAGACTCCAAAATAGGCTTCATTTATTTCCTGTCATTACGATTCACGAGTTTTCGCGCTTGTGTTTCAGCTGTCTCCGTTTCCGTGGGCGTGTGGACATTAGTTGCAATTTCTTTAGAAAGGTACTTCGCTATTTGTCGTCCACTGACTTCAAGAACTTGGCAAACACGATCACACGCGTATAAGGTCATTGCTTTCGTCTGGCTTCTGGCTTTCAGCCTGAGTTCCCCAATTGCCGTGATGAGCGAGTTGCTTCCGATCAAAGACACAGGTTCGTATTTGATGTTTTTCCAATATAATATATGTCAGAGCCTCGTCCTAATTGGCTTTTATTCGCACATCGGCGCCTGATCAACTTGGTTTTTATTTTTGAATTTCCTTGCATATTAGGTCGTCACAAGTGCAGGGAAGTGTGGCCCGAACACGTGAGTGAGAAGGTGTTCGACGTGTTTTTAGTAATGGTTTTGTTGCTGGCGCCGCTGGTCATTATGTCAGGAATGTATTCGCTGATCGCTGCTAAACTCTGGACAGGCATGAGGAGAGAGCAACAACATTCCACTGTTATCACCGAGTCAGGTACAGTACAGCACTTTTTCTCGGATTCTGCATCGTTTTTTTTTACTAAAATAGAAAATAAACAAAAAATTGACCGGCTTCGTTCGGAAAATCACGCGTCGCTGAGCAAACTTCCGCAATTCATTTTTAAACGATTGATTTCTGAACGAGACGAACATGTTCCGACGATAGAACGTAAAATTATTCATTTAATAAGCCAATCTCTGCTTCCAGAATAATTATTTTCAATATATAATGTGAGAGTTATATCTTTTAAAATTTCACAGCAACTTTCCCTTGCTCTGATTGAAAAAAAAGCGTGGCGTTCTGTTGAAAAAAAAGTGTAATGAAAGATTTCGGAGTGATTAAAAGAAGAAAAATTATCATCAGAGGTGAATATTGAACCCATCCCATGCTTTAAACGGGTTTTACACGATAGCAAATGGAGATTTCAGTTATCGATTCGCATTTCAAAATTAAAATATTCATATCTGGGAGGATATTCGCCCTAGAGAACAGCACTTTCTATGTAAATTTTCCTCTGCTAAATTTTCTGCAAAGCTGTTCGAAAAAGTTTACCGAAAGGATTTATTCAATCCCGCACTTCATACACGTCTCATCTTAAAACCAGCAATAAAAACGGCAGACTACTTCCTTTTTTTGTTTTACAATTTGCAGGTCGGTATAATGACTTGAACAGGGTCAATGACCCAGACCAGCAGCGCCAACAGGTCGACGGAGGTGAAACAATCGTCAGTGGTTATGATTTCCCGCTAAATGGCACAATTTATTCCACGAAACGTTGTCTGGTTGTGAGATGGAAGCCTCCTCAAGGTTCTGGCTGCAGTGCAAATGGAGACGCAACAATCATGCCTGCTTCAGCGCCATCTAATGGTGAGTTCCCTTCAAAAAAAAAAAAAAAAAGAATGACTGCGAAGAAAAATGTCTGCGAACTTTCCTGTTATCTTTTGTTGCTTTGTTTCAAACTGATTGTTTCAACTCGCTAATTTTTTATTATTATCCGTATTTACTCGAGTACCACGCACCCTCTAGTAATGAAGACTCGCACCACGGTTTTTTTAGTCAAAATTTTGTAAAAAAAAAAAAAATTTTGTCCCCGTGGAAGAAACGAACCCTTTTATTAGTGACTGTAATATTTTCAAAAAAGGACACCCAGATTTGAATTTAGACATGAATTGACTAATTTTCAAGCGTTTTAAATACAATGATATTTTTGGTTCAAATTGGCCGAAAATTTCCATTAGACTCTAGAATAAAATGCAACAAAAGCCTAAGCTTCCACCATTTTTTTTAAATTTCTACCTATCTATGACATTCACTTCTTTTCTTCCTCGGAATTAAAAAAAAAAAAAGTGCACATGGTAATAAAGTAAATGCAGTAATACGCTAATACCCAATGAGCACAAAAATGTCCATTTTTGGATCCGAAATTCATCCAAAGCAACTCATCCCAGAATCTTGCCAAAAAAGGACAAGTTTCAGACAAGTTTCCATGGATGAAAATCGGACAACACGTCCGATTATGATCCAAAAGTCATGCGGTAATCGACATATATAGAAGGGCGATCCATTGTTCAGATTTTATTACCCCCAGCATGATGCTTAATAATACGTTATTGTCATTTTCACATGCCTCGTCTCGCATCTTTTCTTTCCATTCTGCGAATAAAATAAAACAACAACAACAACAACAACGACAACAGGTGGGAACAACAACAACGGGAACAACGCCTGTTGCACGCCCGATGACCCCTCTTCCACTGGTGGCCGGTCTTGCGGTCGGTACTCGCCGCAACCCCCGTCCGCCGCTGCTTGCAAACTGTATTCCGCTCATCCCATCCGCAACCACAACGCGGAAAGGAGCATCCAGTCCAAACGGAAGGTCATCCAGATGCTCTTTGTCATCGTGCTGGAGTTCTTTGTCTGCTGGGTTCCGCTGTGAGTGCCTCTGTTTTCACAGTGATTAGCCGTATAGGGTTCTCAATTTTGCAGGGATATATATACAGTGAGACCCCCCACATGCGGAAGCCTCGACCTGTGGACAATTTGACATAGGGAAACTTATTTTCCCAGAAAAAAATAAATAAATTAGGCCAGACATGAGGACACTGACTCAACATAGGGACATTTTGTGATGAAATTGCAAATACATTGCAGGCCAAATTACAAGAAACAGATATTTCCAACCCTAAAATTGATGTAAGAAAGGTTCTTGGGCATTTCTCTCACTAAATTACTATCCATTTAGCTAATTTAAAAAATTACCTCCAGCATAGAGGGACTTCTACTTTTTTTCACTTGAATTTTATTTTTGTAGATGCCAAAATTTCAGTGTACAGTACAGAGGTACACTATTCAATGCTCCAAATTTTCTTATTGAGTTGAAAATGTATTCACGAATTCAAATTCAAGTGGCAAACAATTTTTTTTCAGGGAATTCTGAAGAATATTTCTTCCACAAATCAGCAATTAAAAATTATATAATGTAAGTCTATGGGAAAACAAATCTTGACTTAGGGACACTCTTGGTGCAACAATTACATCCGCATCTTGGGGTCTCACTGTATATTGGCTATGTACTGCTACATATAGCAAATCTGCCCCCAACATTGCGAGGGGCCTCGGGAAATTCATTTTTCTAACTATTGTCCCAGCGTTTTTTTTTTTCAAGTTTGAGAGGATAGGACTGGTGTCTACTCGAAATGTAATTAGACTACAATTTCATTAACCTGGACTGGTGCCTCAGTTAATGAACTTTATTCCATTAGAAATGGCGGAAGTCCGTTACATAGACAGCTGCTGACACGTTCCGGGACTGATTTAATTTCTTTGTTTGGTGTAGACTTTTGTAAACTAAATGCGTATCGGGTCAGTGGACAACGTCGAGATTTTTGTTATGCCAAATAATGGAACAGATGCATTATGGTTTATAGTATGTATCCAAGCGTCGTTTGATGATTTTTCATTAAAATGATGAAAAGGTAAAAATTTCAAAATTTGAATGCTGGTGGTATAGACGATAGCATGCTGAGAGCCAACTTAGTTGTATTCATATACTGTATACTGATATTTTTTTGAGTCAAAAATCGGCTCAGTTTTTTCTGCTCCACCCTGTAAATAGTCTTTTGGAATGTGTATTCTTTAGACTTTGGTTTCTGTTCCAGTGTGGTTCATTTTTTCACAGAAATTCATCAACTGACACTTATTCCACTCGAAATTTTTCTTCCCTTCTTTTTTCAACAACATTTCTTGGAAACATCTCGTAATTCATTCGGAAAAACTAAGACTATAACCAAAAGTTCCTACCTTGCGTAAGTTTTTCTCAGAGAATATGCTATAGGTAAACATGGTGTAATTACGTTATAAATTTCCACGTTTGATCCCAGATAATCTCATTCTAAATAATTGCTTTCAGGCAGGTACACGCTGGTACTTGGTTTCTATAAGCTGCTTTCCTCGTGTTTATACGAAAAGACGCGGAACGTACGGGGATTCGTTGTACAGTAATTGTAAGCTCTTGACTTACAGTAAAGAGCTTATCTTGGGACCGTTTTCTGTAAACTGCTTTGCAACACTGTCACTTGTTTTCAGAATCAAAAGGGGAAAATATCCTGAAAATATACTCACAAAATCAGAAAAATAAGAGTCTTCTAACCATCAATATAGTCGCTCCTGAAAATTTTATGATTCGGTATTTAAAAAATAATAAGCATGTGTAATCATCATCGTTGGCTTTTGGCGGCGCAATCAAAGTACTTTACAGTACATTCACGATTTACCCGCACAATTTTGCTTCTACTCATGAGCAGTTTTTATTTATTTCAATTTTGATTCCAGTTGGCACCCTTTGCTTCCCGAAAAAGGAATTTTCATACTTGTATATGATAATTAAATAAGGTACACGACTTCTCTGTATGAAACGAATGGCCTCATTGCAATCCTTCAGATTTTTTAATCCTGTAAAAACCGTTGGCTCGAACTTGGGAAAACTTTTGTAGCTTAATCGCAAATTAAGTCGGCCATGAAAAAATTGTGAAGGAAAACTCCGTGTGCATTATCTAAAATACTGTATTACATACTAGCCCGAAAACCTGGGCTGTTTCAAAAGCTGGAAGGGATTAAAAGAGCCTGATGATGAGAGGTTCACGTTTTCCTCTTCTCTATATTTTCCCGTTTCCCTTTGTTTAATCAATATTATTCAGGAAATGTCGCAGCGAGTTTTTCAAGTTTTTTTTTTTTACTTTCCGGGCATTTATAAATAGAACCAGCTGCTCTTGTTGTTTTTGACCATTCTTGCAATCCTTTCTTAGAAAAAATAGCTTTAAAAAAAATATGCCCAGGGAACCGAAATTGAATCTTCATGAAAATATTTTTTTCGCAAAGGATCTGCTGGAAAATGAATCGAAAATGTATTGGGACTAAGACGACCAGAAAATAAATACTCGTATTCGATGAAAATTGCTAGAGGAAATCGTTCCTTTGGATGTCAAGAACATTTTCGTTCCGGCCTCTTTGTGTTGTGATACTTCACTGACTTATTATAGGAGATGAGGAGTGACAAGTCAATGCACTGTGTAATCCAATTCCGAAAATGGGGTTTTTGTAATTTTTCTCTTTTCTCACGTTTCAATTACTGGATACATGCACTAATTGTATCACCTTTGCGTGTTCACAAAAGCATCCGGATTTTGACAGTCCTGATTTTATGCTTTCGAGGAAAAAAAATATTGTACCTTAATTGCTAGGTTTATCTGAGTGTGATAGACTCCCCTCTTCCACTTTTTCATAAACCACTCGAGCACAGAGAAGTTGACACTACTTCGTCCTAATTTCTTGATTAATATCACAAGCGTTATTAAAAACTGTAGCGTTTCAACACTTTATTGGATTTGTCGAAGACCAACAACAAACAAATTAATAAAACAATTCAAATCTGCTCTTCTCAACAGTCTGACGTTTGACCGTTGATTTGTGAACTTCTGAGTTCTGACAGTAAAAAGCGCTGAGTTGTTGCTGAAAATTTCTTGAAGCTGAAAATTGCTTGAAGCAAACATACATTTCTACAAAATTTTCAGCCTATCCTATCATCCGACTGATTTATGTGATTGAATTTACATCCAATAAAGTGATCCAAAATATATTATTTTGTTCCTGCTGCGTCGAAGTACAACAGTGAGAAACTTTATTTGGAGAGAATTTTTTATCCATTAGGGAATTAGGCCAACAACATAAATGGGCTTGAAGAACTGAACACTATAAACTTCTGAAAACCATACTCAAATTTATCAAGGGACCTTCATATAGAAATAAATATTTTGTTGAGACGTGCTTCTAGGTTCTGAGCAGCTATTGGTTGAAAGTCGTATCTTCTTTTTTTTTTCAGAAAATCCCAACACTTAGTAGGAAAGTCTTATAAAATATCCCTGCATAACCCGATATGTATTCCGAATCTGGCCTAACGAAAAATTTCCGCTCCGTTTTCTGAATATATATAAAAAAAAATCAGCGCAAGGGAAATCCTTGTAAGATTCCCATACATCCTTCAGGTCAAGAGGTTCATTTCAGCCACAGGAATGCAAATGCACCACGAACTTCACTAGAATAACAAATACGGTACCTTACTCTATTCCAAAGCCCTTTTAAGCCAATATGGTTCAACCGGGTTCGTTGCGTCTCTGTCCAGGATTTTGGTTTCCATTGCTATTTTTATCGCAGTAGAAAATTCAAAGAAACGCCCAGGAAATCGTAGTACTCACGAAAATATTTGCCGCCGGATACTTTGAGACGAACTTCAATTTTGCAGACCCTCAAAATGATGGAAGGGTTTCTGAAAAATGCATGAGGCATTGTTATCTCGCCGAAGATAAAGCACGGACCACAAAAGACAGTAAATTCGAAAACAACAGAGCATCGCATTATTCAGTACATCACCGTATAATTGATCGCTGTATCAAGTTATTTTTTTGTGAAATTAATTGTGAAAGCCATACTATACGACTACCACGTCATTAAAAACGATTAAACAAATTTACCAGGATTAAAAATTTACCTGGTAAACAAATTTGCTAGGATTTCCTCGATTTACATTTGGAATAGCCGATGAAATTTAGTCTGAATCAAGCCTCAAAATCTTGAAGCGTCATTGGCGGAAAATTTCGATGAATGAATAATACGTAATGTACGTGATTTTGTTGGCCAATTTCTCATCACCCCGTGAGCTCACATTCGTGTAAAAATATTTAGAAAATTTTAATTTTATTGACTGCATATTTGTCGGGAAGTGTAGAGATATGCCAGGTGATGAAAATGCATTCGGCGAATATCGCTTTTTGAATGGCATGGATTCGAAATTTGGTTGAAGGCAATGCAATTCAATCTGTCTAAGAAAATTTCCTTTCTCAAAGGTTTGAACGCAAGTGCTGCCATGTTCTCAAAAATTTTGTTAAACATGCGCCAAAATGTAAAACCGCAACTGCAAAATTAGTCAGGAAAATAAAAATAATGCTGTAACGCAACAAAATAACAATCTTATCGAGGCGTTTAAACACATTTGTCAAAGTCAACGTTACATCAAAATGAGTGCATCAATTTTGGCAGTGAACACCATTGATACTCGTATGCACTAACGATGAATCTGGAAACCAGTCATCAGCACAGTATAGGTATGCTTTGTTTTTCTCGAAAATGAATTTCCAATAACCTTAAATACTATATATTGCTTCGAACCACTCCCTGCAAAATCTTTGACGCACTGCTGCTGCTCTGAGTTTTTGCCCCCGCTCCAAATTGGCGAAGCAGTGCATGTTTCACTCGCGTAAATATGTTATGTGAAGAAGTGAGCAGAAAAAATAAATAAATTGCCTCATCAAAAGAACCCTCTCCTACAGTTTTTTTTTCGCCGCTTCTCTCTCAGCTACGTCATGAACACCTGGGCCTTGTTTGACGCTGCGAGTGTGTACAAGGCTCTCGGGCCCCTGGGCGTCAATATGATTCAACTCCTGGCATACTTGTCCAGCTGCTGCAACCCAATAACCTACTGCTTCATGCACCGCAAGTTCCGACGCGCCTTCTGGGAACTGATACGGTGTCGGAAATGCACGGTGCCGGCGCCACCGGCGTACCGCCAGAACTCGTTTTCCATGGCTTCGGCGCCGGATATCCGCACAACCAGCGTCAATAACGGGCGGGCCAGTTACCTGGTGCGTCCTCAACTCACTGCCGTTATTGGGGGCGTCATGACCACCACCTTCAACAACAAGAGTGGTGAGAGAATCTGTATGATTACAGTATAACTTGCTGGTTACAATGAATCCTGCCACAAGTGCTAGATGGCTCTCTCTCCCTCTACATCTTTCTCTCTGTATCTATCCAACTCTCTACTTATTTGCTTCTCTCTCTATGTCTCTATCTCTCTCTCTCTCTCTATCTCTCTCTCTCTATCTCTCTGTATATCTCTCTCTCTCTTTACCTCTCCATACATCTTTCTCTTGATCTATCTAACTCTCTACCTATTTGTTTCTCTCTCTATGTCTCTCTCTGTCTCTCTCTCTGCCTCTGTTTATCTCTCTCCATCTTTCTCTTTATCTCTCTCCATCTTTCTCTTTATCTCTCTCTCCATCTTTCTCTCTATCTATCTGTTTCTCTCTCTACGTCTCTCTCTCTGTCTCTCTCTCTTTAACTCTCTCCATCTTTCTCTTTATCTCTCTCCCTATCTTTCTCTTTATCTCTCTCTCCATCTTTCTCTCTATCTAGGTATCTCTCTCTGCCTATCTGTTTCTCTCTCTCTTTATATATCTCTCTCTGTCTCTGCCTTTTTATTTCTCTCTCTTTACCTCTCTCTCCATCTTTCTCTCTATCTATCTATTTCTCTACCTATCTGTTTCTTTCTCTGCGTCTCTCTCTCTCCCTCTCTTTATTTGTATATCTCCATCAATCTCTAGCCCTCTGTACCTATCTATCTCTCTCTCTTTATCTATATCTCTCTCTCCATCTATCTATATCTCTCTCCATCTATCTATCTCTCTCTCTCCATCTATTATCTCTCTATCTAATTATCTATCTGTATGTATTTATCTAACTATCTATATATCTATATATCTATTTATCTATCTATCTCTATCTATGGGAATATTTCTTGGGTATATTCTGAAATATATGAAACATTGAAGTTAAAATTTACATCAACCACATTTAAAATCGCAATACATTTTTCGAAATGAAGGTCCTCGAAACTTTGGCTTCAAACTGGACTATCATGAAACATATTGTCTGAGTATTTTCAATTCTCCGAAATTGGCTCCTAAACACGTTTACTTTATCTTAAACTTGAAATAACTTCATAGTTTCAGAAATTTAAAGTTTTGCATGGTTCTTGGGAATTTCCTGCTGATTTGGGAATTCCTCCGTCTTCGCTCAAAGGAAGCAAGGTTATTATTGATTGGGTCGACTTATTGGAGCTTGATGACCATTGTTCAACTTTGCCATAATGGGAGAAACAAAGTAGTGATGTTTTCTGGAAATCAATAGGTAATGATCTACCGAGAAACTACTGTACATTCAATTACCGTCCACGAAAGTGTCAGTAGCAGTGAGAAACATGGCAGGTCTCAATTTATTATTTAAGAAAACGTGGACCAGGAAAATATATGCTGTATGGAACGTGAAGTATATATACCTCGCGTGCATTGACTAATTACAAGTCCAAACGAATTATTTTTCTTTCGTGCTTTTTTAATTCATCATCATGCGAATAAAATGTATGCAGTTAACACATTTCTTCGGTAATTCTTTGGGAGTCAAAAACCCTACATTTCCAGCATCTACGTGAAAAAGATTTCGTGACGAAGAACAACAGATGTTCTCTTCCACGTCATCATGAATCAAATTAAAAGAAATGCTTCAAAAACCCAACCTCTGGGTAAATTAAATCCATAAATAGTACAGTATTTCGCCCAAGTTATTCGGACTACTTTCATGAACAGTATAGCTTCAATTTTCACACTGTATGGTCTCGGGCTTCTCTCATATCTCAAGACTCGGCTCGTTTCTTTCACTCAATTATATTGAGCTTTAAGCACAGTATTGTCTCTCTTTGAAGTCGACGCAACATTGTCTTTTCCTTTTTTCTTTTTTTTTTTGCAGACGTGATGGGCATCGAGGACCACGAGGTGTGAAGTTTAATCAAAGGGGCCGGATGAGAAGAACTTCCAGATCTCATTTCCGCAGCGAAAAAGTGGGAACCCGGGTACACGGACCAGATGTTCTCACGAACCCGACAGAAAAGGAAGGACGTTATCTTGGTGATATCAAGAAGCGATACGCATCTGGTGAACATCAATTACCCGGCTTACGATTTCAATAAGGCGGACATTTCTCGACATTTTCAGAGCCACCATATCAGGATCCTTCGTGCGAAGTATTTGCTCATCATTCGGAAACAAAATCGATCAAAATCTTCAGAACTTGGTATAGGAAAAAAAAGAGGAGAAACGAGTGCAGTGTGGTGAAAATAATGTTTTCTATGTACATGTATGTCCGTATGAATCTTGGATTTTATTTTGGTTCCTTTTTTGGCATAAGCGTTCTTTGTCATGAGGTGTTTTCAATTTTTGGCAGAATAAAAGACCCTTTTCTAGTCAAAAATTCTAGAGTTTCTTTAATATGAATGCAGTAGAACTCCTATCATCCCTACCCATACAGGCACATTTTAAAAATAAGCCTATTTTGCTGACAAACGCAAGAATACAGTAGAATCTTGTTACAACAAATCTTGTTTAACAACTGATTGCTCACAACCAAGTTGATTTTTAGGCCCCTGCCCAATAGACACAATTTTAAAATTGTTAGTTAGTAAAGAATTTGTCTATATAGATAAGCAATTCAATCTGCCTCAATGGCCTTGTTATACAGTCAGACCCTGTTAAGATGTCCCCAATAAAGCGCCATCCTTGGCAACTGCCAAAATTTTGAATGAAACAAATCTCCTCCATATTAAATTCTATAGAAAACCTTCATAAGACGCCAACTGCCATTTGCCAACATTAGTGATTAAGCAAAAGTGCTGTTTCCTATTAGTTTTTTCTTTGTTGCAATAAATGCCAACATTGGGGTAGAATTATAATTTCTGTCAAGGATCTTGCATTTGTAAGAATAAAAAATAATAATGATATTTTTTAAATTTTGAACAATATATTGACCTAATCTTGAAATTTAAATAAATTGAATTAGCAAAATTTATTTTCTGTAAGAGTAATATCCATTGATCACAGCAATACTCTTTGGAAAGTTACTGAAGTTTCTACACAAAACCTGTATCTCTTAGGACTTTTGGAGGAAAATCGATTATTTTGATCAAATAATTTAAAATTAAATATTTTATAAATTGCCAACCTCTTTTACCCGCCAAAATTGCTCTGGACAAATCGTGGCGTCTTACTGGGGTTTGACTGTAACAACATTTCAGCATCAAGAATGTGCATTTTGATGAGAGGAAAACTGAATACCAAATTTTAATTAGACAATACTTGCTGCGATGCTCTCTTTCTTCCAAACAAAATTTCCGCGTATTTAATTGAACTCGTCATGGCCGTCTACTGAAGAAGCCCGGATATGAAAAAAATCACTTGAATTTTAAAATCAAAATGTGTTTTTGCTCAATTTTCCTGTAGCTGTTCCGGATTTAGTTTCGACGAGAGAGTAATCCCGGGGCCTCGGAAACCCTGCTTCCGCTTTCAACTCAGTTACTCCTTAAATACGAAACCCCAGCCCCTCTTCGGTAAAATAGTGCATCACTGCCCCCAATAAATCTTCGCTTCGTTGGAAGGTGATCAGTCCTGATGAAGTTTTAGCAAGCCTCTTAATGACTGGCCTGCTGGACTGGGGGTAAATTGAATAAGGAAGTTCGGGGTTACAGTCATTGACGTGGCTATATACTGTACACGGAGAGGGGTTCTCGCGCCCGTCGCGGGGTAGATGAGAAACCCATTTGCCCTGGTGAGCACCAACTTTCCTTCTCATAATGTCGGGGTAAACCAGCTATATACCAGCAGCAACAGCTTGCCATGGGAAGACCAGCTTGTAAACTTTTTTACACGTCTCATTATTATTTTGTTTAACCCTTCAACACGGGACGTGGTGAAAGATGAGATTCCCGGCGAGCGAAGACTGTAGTTGAAACAGGTTGAGAGGAAAAATAAGAGAGGGGACAAGATAAAAGAGCTCAAATCATCCTTGGTAGCCATTATACTTAGGATGAAGAAAGCAGTGAAACACATCATGGGGATTCATCGCAAGTAAGGGGTTGTTTGCAGAAGCAGGTGCTGAAGCATAATATTTGTGGACACGGCTTTGCGAAAAGCAAATTCAAATGATGCTCTTATTTGTTTAAACGCATGTGAAAACACCACTTCTGCACGTTTTGTGCATTCCAGTACGTTTTCTTGGAGTGTTTTACGACTGAGTTTTAAATTCTCGCAACGTCCAAGCATTTCGTGGAAAGGAAATACGTTTTCTTAGAAAAAAAAAATGTCGTAGGATTTCTGAAGAACACGCGCGGAATTCGTACGATTTAAGCAAAAAAAATTTACGCATGATGGTCCTAATGCAAACGTGAAATATTTAATACACCCTGGAATAATTTGAAATTAATCATCACATATTGTCCAAAAAACCTCGTGGCATCTCCGTGTTTCAAAGAAACATAGACTTCAACCAGTGACAGACGTAATATTGTTAGTCTTCCGCTCTTCCCATGAATAATGAACATTTTCTACAAACACAGCATAGTACAGTCATGATTCAAGTTTAATTGTCCTGACATACGGACGATTTGATCACTTCAAAAAATTTGCCCTGACATCGATGTCTCGAGATATGGACACTTCGAAATCATTTATAGGAAAATAAACATCGCATTTCGCAAAATTTTGAGATCTCTTTTCGAAATCGAAGTACAGTACAGTATTTCCATGAATAAAAAGTCGAATTACAAAGTATCTTATTAATGCCATAAATTAACTTCAATTCGCAAACCTATCAAATGAGTTAATTTTGTCCTTATCATTTCGGGGTTTTTCCAGACATTTGTGCACAGTTTTGAAATATGTGTATTCATCTTTAATTTTTGTGCTTATTTTTCTTGCCAAAAGGGCAGATTCTGTGTGGGTTTTATTCTAAACAGTTATTGTTCGCATTTAATTAGCAAACTTGTTTTCGGAGGCCTTATTTCAATGTTTCCGAAGAAGAAGAAGTGATGGAACAAATTTTCATTCAAGTTTTTGGGAAAACATGATCAGATGTGGGGACAAGGTCCAAGAAATGATCACGTCCGCATCTCGGGGTCCTATACAATGTATATGCAAGTAATGAAAAATACGGAGCAGATTCTTTTTCTCAAGCGGAAATTCGAAACACTTTACCCTCTCCTATACCTTCACAAGCTTTCCAACTTATAACTTAATATCGTGATCATGGCTTGAATTTGAATTTCTCCGACGATTAAAATAAAGGACGAATACATGTGGCTGGAGTCCATATTACCATCAGCAGTCGTTTCTGTCATGATGGACTTGCTGAAAGCCCTGTTTTATTTTTTGGCTTCTGTCAACAGCCTGCAGGGGTTTTTACTCCTGCCATACATCGGGGGGTTGACGGATAATTTCACACGGCTGTTCGGCTGGCTTGGATTTGGTGCTTGCGTCGTTGACAACGTCTCAGGGCTATTGTATCATGGTAAGAAAGATTAAGGTCTAAACGCGTCACAAGGACGACTACAATCAGAGTGGCATTAAATTTTGCAGCTTAGAAACGATTGTACATTTAGCTCGTCGGAGAGTGTTTATCAGCCATCCCAGCAGGTGATGTCGTCTTGAATTTCGTGACATTTCCTTGGTTAAGATTAGCTTGATTCGAATGAGCGTGAGTTCGGGTAATTGCGTATGTAAGAGAATTTGAAATAATTAATTTAGGTTAGCGCAAGCAATGCTAACCAGTACTGTAGTTTGCTTCAGGTGATACGAATTAGCAATTCACACGTCCCGTAATGCAACGGCAATGTCTGAAATTCCGCTTCTCAATTTTTGTAAATTCTAAACAGATGTCGCGCCAATCCATTTTAGAATTTCCGTCGAACAATTCGGGGGGCATCAAGTAAGTTCGCATCCAGGTGTATATAGTCTTGGTCGGTTACATTTTTAGATTTTAAAAATATTTGGCATTGAAGTGCTAATATCATAAAACCTACAGTGTGCGCATCTATTTTTTTTTAATTAAAAATTCAGGATGTACTGCATGATAAATCATATGCATCAAATCATAGTTTTACCATGGGGTAAAGGATACAGCAGATATAATTTCAAATAACATATTTCAGTCCATCGACATTTTAATAAATCACACCAGTTTTTTTGCGTTGGCCATTGGGATTGCATCTATACTATTGGTAGCATTATTCCTTAGAATTTTCTTCGACATTAATCCATCATGATTAAATAAAGTATTCCATCGAATTTAGGTTAGGTATGGGTCACTCATTTTTTCAGGAGTGATTTTCCGGTATATAGGTCATTTACTGGGTGTTTGCAATTGGACAGGTTAGATGGTTTTTTATTATACAGTAATTTTTTTTTTCTGTTAGGCTTTACTTATGAGAAGCCGACTTCTAATATTAACCCATAAACTCATTGAGATTAATTACATTCGGATCGTTTCGCATCGTATTACGGCTTTGATTTGACAGACAATTGAGACCCGATATGACATATAATTCCGAAGATCTTTTTCTCCGAACCTTCCTCAGTTTTTTCCAAATTCGCTTCTTGCTTGCGTCTTCTGCGTTAGTCTTTGTGTGGGAAACTAATGGCAGACGTGCTAAAGTTGATAGTTTACGGATTATGCATGGCATCATGCATAGAAGCAATGTTCGACTTGAACGAATTGAAACAATCCCTAACAAGAGACCGATTTTTTGGTTGGTTCGCTTTCTTTTCAAGATCTGCTGAAGCATTGCTTGGATTCATTGTTGAAGGTCATTAGCTGGCTGTGTGCACATCTTTTCATTTTTTTTTAAGTACTTCGTCGTTTTTCGATAATTTTTTTGATAGGAATGGAACTAACCATCCTTTGCGGAAGTACGTCCAGTTCTGAGTGCTTCACTGTCAAAGGCAGGAGAATTTTGGAATTTGTGGTCTTGGCGTCGTTTGCCATTTTTTTCACTGGGGAATACGATCTGCCGCTGATTTCCGCATTCCTTAAGACCATTTCCGCCATCAGTTTGGCGACTTTGGTAACTTTTCATCAAACCCAGCCGAACCTCGTCGAAATGGTGTCGACGATTTACTTCCCACTGACGACCGGAGCTCTTATCGCAGTTTCGTCCATCGCTGACAACGGACACCTTTTCTGGGCCACTTTCAACACCGTTCTTTTCGATCGGTGATTTTTTTTCGATTATTAATATTTAGTATCGTGTATCGGAATATTACTGTACAACTGTCATCAACCAAGTTCCATTGCGATTCACGTTGCGACGCGATGCTAGATGTCACTGCCACTGCCTGGTTTTTGATGAAAATCATAATTTCAGGATCACCGAATTCGTCGGAATGAAAATTATAAAAAAAAGTTTCAATTTTGCATCGCTAACAACGGACAATTTTCTTGGCCACTTTCAACCCTGTTCTATTTGATCTGAGAATTTTTGCAATTATAAAAAATATAAAACCTTGTATAAGACCGCTATACTGCACTGATGATGACCGAATTCCATCGCAGTTGATGTTGCGAAGCGATGCTAGATGTCACTGCTGCCTTGTTTTTTATAAAAATTACAATTTCAGGATCACCGAATCTATCATATAAAAAAAATTAGAGTACATTTTTGAGGCATGAGACTTTGGCATTTTATCTTTGCTCAATTGCGGGTAAATAACTCAATTAAGCATGAAATCTACTATGATATATACCAGTGGTGCCCAACTCAGAAGTGGCCAAGGGCCGCATTGAAGTAGAAGAGCATTATGCGGGCCACAATGGAAAAAAGGCACAAGAAATGTTGACCAGAACATTGTGTAATTCAAGAATTTCTGGGATGGTTGAAACGATTCTACAGTATAATCAATCAAGTTCTAGTCTATAATCAAGTTCAATNAATTTGAATTTCTCCGACGATTAAAATAAAGGACGAATACATGTGGCTGGAGTCCATATTACCATCAGCAGTCGTTTCTGTCATGATGGACTTGCTGAAAGCCCTGTTTTATTTTTTGGCTTCTGTCAACAGCCTGCAGGGGTTTTTACTCCTGCCATACATCGGGGGGTTGACGGATAATTTCACACGGCTGTTCGGCTGGCTTGGATTTGGTGCTTGCGTCGTTGACAACGTCTCAGGGCTATTGTATCATGGTAAGAAAGATTAAGGTCTAAACGCGTCGCGAGGACGACTACAATCAGAGTGGCATTAAATTTTGCAGCTTAGAAATGCTTGTACATTTAGCTCGTCAGAGAGTGTTTATCAGCCATCCCAGCAGGTGCTGTCGTCTTGAATTTCGTGACATTTCCTTGGTTAAGATTAGCTTGATTCGAATGAGCGTGAGTTCGGTTAATTGCGTATGTAAGAGAATTTGAAATAATTAATTTAGGTTAGCGCAAGCAATGCTAACCAGTACTGTAGTTTGCTTCAGGTGATACGAATTAGCAATTCACACGTCCCGTAATGCAACGGCAATGTCTGAAATTCCGCTTCTCAAGTTTTGTAAATTCTAAACAGATGTCGCGCCAATCCATTTTAGAATTTCCGTCAAACAATTCGGGCGCATCATGTAAGTTCGCATCCAGCTGATATATATAGTCTTGGTCGGTTAAATTTTCAGATTTTAAAAATATCTGTCATTGAAGTGCTAATATTGTAAAACGTATAGTGTGCGCATCTATTTTTTAAAATTAAAAATCCAGGATGTATTGCATGATAAATCATCTACATAAAATCATAGTTTTAACATATGGGGAAAAGGATACAGATATAATTTCAAATAAAATATTTCAGTCCGAAGAAATTTTAATTAATCACACCAGTTTTTTGCATTGGCCATTGGGATTGCATCTGTACTATATTGGTAGCATTTCACAAAATTTTCTTTGACTTTAACTCATCATCGATTCAAAAGTATTCCATCGAATATAGGTCAGGTATAATGGGTCACTCATTTTTGTAGGAGTGATTTTCCGGTATGTGGGTCATTTTCTAGGTATCTTGGATTGCACAGGTTGGATGGTTTTTTTTGTTGTTGGATGCAGTTCATTTTTTCTGTTAAGCTTTACTTTTGAGAAACCAACTTATAATATTACTCCATAATCTCATTTATTGAGATTAATTACATACGGATCCTTTCGCATCGTAATACAGTTTTGATTTGACAGACAATTGAGACCCCGAGATGACATATAATTCAAAAGATCATTTTCTCCGAACCTTCCTCAGTTTTTTCCAAATTCGCTTCTTGCTTGTGTTTTCTGCGTTAGTCCTTCTGTGGGAAACTAATGGCAGACGTGCTAAAGTTGATAGTTTACGGATTATGCATGGCATCATGTATAGAAGCAATGTTCGACTTGAACGAATTGAAACAATCCCTAACAAGAGACCGATTTTTTGGTTGGTTCGCTTTCTTTTCAAGATCTGCTGAAGCATTGCTTGGATTCATTGTTGAAGGTCATAAGCTGGCTATGTGCACATCTTTTCATGTTTTTTAAAGTACTTCGTCGTTTTTCAATAATTTTTTTATAGGAATGGAACTAACCATCCTTTGCGGAAGTACGTCCAGTTCCGAATGCTTCACTGTCAAAGGCAGGAGAATTTTGGAATTCGTGGTCTTGGCGTCGTTTGCCATTTTTTTCACTGGGGAATACGATCTGCCGCTGATTTCCGCATTCCTCAAGACCATTTCCGCCATCAGTTTGGCGACTTTGGTAACTTTTCATCAAACCCAGCCAAACCTCGTCGAAATGGTCTCGACGATTTACTTCCCACTGACGACCGGAGCTCTTATCGCAGTTTCGTCCATCGCTGACAACGGACACCTTTTCTGGGCCACTTTCAACACCGTTCTTTTCGATCGGTGATTTTTTTTCTCGGTTATAAATATTGTCATATCGTAAATCGGAACATTACTGTACTACTGGTATCAACCAAGTTCCATGATTCTGACGCGATTGATGTTGCGACGCAATGCTAGATGTCACTGCTATACTGCCTGGTTTTTGATAAAAATCATAATTTAAGGATCACCGAATTCGTCTGAATGAAAATTATAAAAAAAAAGTTTCAATTTTGCATCGCTAACAACGGAAAATTTTCTGGGCCACTTTCAACCCTGTTCTATTTGATCTGAGAATTTTTGCAATTATAAAAAATATAAAACCTTGTATAAGACCGCTATACTGCACTGATGATGACAGAATTCCATCGCAGTTGATGTTGCGAAGCAAAGCTAGATGTCACTGCTGCTGCCTTGTTTTTTATAAAAATTACAATTTCAGGATCACCGAATCTATCATATAAAAAAAATTAGAGTACATTTTTGAGGCATGAGACTTTGGCATTTTATCTTTGCTCAATTGCGGGTAAATAACTCAATTAAGCATGAAATCTACTATGATATATACCAGTGGTGCCCAACTCAGAAGTGGCCAAGGGCCGCATTGAAGTAGAAGAGCATTATGCGGGCCACAATGGAAAAAAGGCACAAGAAATGTTGACCAGAACATTGTGTAATTCAAGAATTTCTGGGATGGTTGAAACGATTCTACAGTATAATCAATCAAGTTCTAGTCTATAATCAAGTTCAATAAGTATTTCAGGATTTTTGTTTTCTGGCAATTTGGCTTTTANTTCTTTCTTATTAGGGGAATCATTGCAGAATTTATTGTGAAGCCCTAATAAAATTCCTAATCAAAATTGCAGACTGAAGACATCCTGAAAAACTTGCAATTTTTACTTTTTGAGGGTCTTACTTTTTGTGTGGAGATTTTCCATGCTGGCTCCGCGGGCCAGATGAAAAGCCTCCGCGGGACAGATCTGGCCCGCGGGCCGTATCTTGGGCACCCCTGATATATACTGTATATACACCTATGCCAAACTAAAATTCAGAAATTCAGTATAGGTATCATGTGATGAGCATGTGGAGCAGAATTCATGATACGGGGATGCGTTGAAAGTGGGTCTCGATTTTCCGTGTTACTTAGATGTGAATTTCGATGTGGAAGGTTAAAATAAAAATATTGTGTGCATCGAGGTTCCTTCTGCAAGTTGAAGCTTACTGTATTGTAATTTTTCCATATTTATTCTCAATTTTATGAGTATTGTCTCCATGATGGCCGTTTGCTATGACGGGCACGACAGACTTTAATTAATCTCAACTTTCTCAAAATGTACGCAAAAATTGATTGAAAAAATTGATGGAACAGAAAACCCTGATGAAATACACACTAGAAGGGAATGGGTCTTATACAATTCCATAAAAAAAATTTTTTTATTTTTTTTCACAGGTTCTCTGAGGCCGGGAGACACGTGGAGACAAGCATTTCGTACAATGTGGCAGTGACTTTGAATTTATTTGTGAACGCCATGCGAGAAATGATGTCAGCCAGGAAAGAACCTTTGCCACCGATTAGAAATGCTTTCATCGACATCAGCGTGAAACCACCAAATTAAATTCATTCAAAAAATTGTATTTCTTTCTCTGACTTCACTATGAACTCTTTGTTTCCTGCCGTGAGAATTGAGAAATTCTCTCCACATCATGAGTTTTCCACTCGAATCCGCATTGAAATGAAAAATCATTTTCTTAAAAAAAAAGCGTTTTCTTTTTATTCCATATGGCGAATAATATACTTTATAAAGCACTGATCGGATTGTTACCGAAATATGCATAATCAATACTCTTTGACGATGCTTTCAAAATAACACAGAATTTCTCGTCTGAATTTCCCCAATGGAAATGTATATCTTAACATTGAATGATTCAAACAATTTAAGGGCTAAGCACACATTCAAGATTAAATATTGCTGGCGGAGAAGTAAATTTTCGATTTCTGAAGAGAACCCTGTTCCATCACCAGTAGAACACTTGGCAGAAATAAAAACACGTATGATAATTAAGAACATCGCAGAAAACAATCCAAGATAAATACTTTCCCATTATTATACGAACGCCATATTATGTAAAGCATACATTTGTATTTTTTCAAGCTAAATTGAAGGGATCCCTGCGAGATACTTTATAAATATGAATGTACTGTATATCGACAATATTTTTATAGAGTAGGCTTGAGGTATTTCACACAGCAAACCGCTCTCACTTCGGATCCTGCTTTGGCAAACGGCATTTTTCCATTTGAATCAACAAAGAGATTGATTTGGAAATCATCCAGAACTTCGTAGCCGAGCTGTTCTCCAAGTTGCTGAAGGATAAGTGAAAGATTTAATTAATTACCACGTAATATTCAGTCGCACGCACGCAAAAACGAAGCGCTTGAAAAGCGGTGTCCTATATTAGGAAAACAATAATTCACAAACGCAGCTCTGATGTTGAAATTACCCTCATATACAGTGAGTCCCCAAGATGCGGACGTAATCGGTGCATCAAGAGTGTCCCCAAGTCAAAATGTCCCTAAGTCGAGTCTTGTTTTCCTATAAACTCACATACATTATATAATTTTAATTGGTGTTTTGTGGAAGAAATATTCTTCAGAATTCCCTGAAAAAAATTGTTTGCCACTTGAATTTGAAATAGTGAATATATTTTCAACTAAATAAGAACATTTGGAGCATTGAATCTCTGTACTGTACACTGAAATTTTGGCATCTAAAAAAATAACATTCATCAATTGAAAAAAAGTAGAAGTCCCTCTGTGCTGGAGGTTTTTTTTTTTTCAAAATCGATTTACCTACCATTAAAGCACTCTCTTTACGCGTTCTTGAAAAGAATGTAGTTAAAGTCCCAAACTTTATAGACAAAGAACATTAAACCGGACTTTACATAAAGCAATATTATCACAAAATGTCCCTATGTCAAGTCAGTGTCCTCATGTCGGGCCTTATTTATTGATTTTTTCTGGGAAAATAAGTGTCCCTGTGTCAAATTGTCTGCAGGTCAAGGCATCCGCATGTGGGTGTCTCACTGTATTTCAAGCTACGTGCAATTTTACTTGCAAGATAGTGCTTCTACTTTGGAATTTAGTAGAAAAGTTTTCCTTGGAGAAGATGATAACTTTCAATAATTTTTTTTTAATTTTTACCTGAGTGATGGGACTTGTGTTGGTAGTGAAAAGGGCGTCGTAACCGGCGGCCGAACCGACTCTCACGTTTTCTTCCTCCATGAGTTCCATCAATTGAACACTTTCTCTGTCAGTCGTTTCAAACATACTTGTGCCCATCATGAAATTATGGATGACCTTCAAACCCTTTGGCTTGAAATGGATTTCCCTGTGCAGAAAAACAAGGGACGAAACCTGCATAATATATTCACATATGCGTGTTCAAATCCGTCGAGTGTGTCGTAGATTTTGTAGCTTTCGTTTTCAGGTAATCATTTAAAACCTCGTTATAAAAGGGAAAAAAATATACACATCTGATTTATACCAAATTGCATGATTAATGATAAGCCTGACATTCAAATAGTGTCAATCGGAATCGTTTTACCATATTTTTCTGGATTTAATTTAGCATTATAGTACAAGCTCTACTTTTGCCTAGCAAAAGTTTAATCTTGCTAGCTTTAGATGAATGAAATGCTCTCTTTCAGAACGGAGGTGAGTTTTCTTGAAGGAAAAATTGGAAAATAATCAAAAATCTTGGAGCTACAACGTTTTCGAAGAAGTCTAAAATCTTGTAAAATTAGCATAAATCTGCAGTAATATATTTAAAATTTTAAAATGATCATCGAGTCCAACATACAACTTATGTAAAAGAATATTCAACCCTCGTTTTGAAATTTAAATTATTTTCATGAAGCCCTGCTCATCTTCCGCCAATAAAGATTGTGTTCTTGCTAGCTTAAAATGAATCTGTTTTTTTCCTAACTGACGGTGACATTTCTCGGAAAAATTGGCAGAAAACGAACCGTTGTGGTGCTTCGACACTTTCGAGCAAGTTGAAAACAGGAGCCATGTTCTCAGAAATGTCGACTTCCGGTTCCTTGTCAAGATCGAAATTTAAAGCAGCAGCGACAATGCGTCCTTCTCTTCTGACGACAAAGCTAAAAAAAAGGAATCGTTAGCTCAACTCAGTCCACAAACTTGATACAAATTCAAATCCTGAAATGTGCAGAAAAATGCGTTAAAATTTGCATTATTGAATGAAATGCTACCTCAACTTTTGGCCGACCAGCTCGGGCCAAAGCGGTTGCAGGACATTGAAATACTCGTATTCGGTCAAGTTCGGCAAGCATTTTTCGAGATCTCCTTTAGCAAAGAAACTCTCCGAAATCAGTCTGAAAAAAATAATGATATAAAGTGAAATACGCATCCAATTTTGTTTCAGCTAGCGTTTTGTTCATCGATCGATGCATTATTTCGGGTGTACATTACTTGGAAACCATGGCCCAGTCATCGTCTGCTAAAGGACTGATTCGATAAGGACTTCCGAGGGCATCCGAGGCAATTGGAAGCATACTTTTTGCAGACGTAACATCATTTGTCAAGCTCTTGTTCCGAAGGCTTATTTCGGCAGATTGACAATTCAGGCTTCTTTGTCGAGCGTATTCTGCAACTTGTCTCAAATCGGTTGCAGCGAGAAACTCAGAAATTCCTGAATAATAAGAATTAAGCCCGTACATTGAAACAGCAGTTTATTCGTTTTATCACAGCCATATTTTCAAGATACAGTACATATACTTTATGCAGTATATATAATTTTTTTTTTAGAAAAAACTGCTGCGTATAAGCATGAATAAATTACATTGTTTAGAGTCAAACTCAGAGAGACACACGACATATTCTACATATATGAGCATTTTTTGAGTCGGTGGAAAATGAAGAATGACAGTAAGATTTGAAAAAAAAAATTTCTATTTTGGTCTTGGTTAAAGAATTAACGGGATGCTGAACTTGGAGATAGGGGTCCATTTTTTCAGTCACTCACAATTTCAGAAAGCATCAAGTTGCATTTCCAGAATAATTGCCCGAAGGTTTCTAGAAATTTGAGGTTTATATAGAGGTTCCATCAGGGAGAAAGTCTTTGAGCAGGAGAGTACATTGTTCTCAAGGAAAATCAGATGTGGACTAGTCAAAAAATTTCGGAGTGAAGAGGGTTGTTGGTTTAAGAAGCTTGTTTGAGTTGACAATGTTAAGCTGTACTTATGGGAAATCCTGCGTCTCGAAGGCTGAGACAAGCAGCAACAGCATTCAGAGAATTTCCTCCAATGTGAAAAAAGTTGTCACTGGCTTTCAAGGCACGGTGTGCTACTACTGCTCCCAAACTTCTCTTGACGACGTTAACGACAGTTTTCAATACAGGATCGTTTTCAGCATCGTCCATATCGAAGGGTTCATCCAGACCTTTTTTCGCCTCTTGATGCAGTGGTTTCGGAGGAACTGAGAACGAAATAAAATAAAGTACACAAGCAGAGCGCAAAGATGACACGCATAATAATCTACTAAATTTGTCGTAATTTCGGTGGAGGATGAAAGATGATAGAACAAATTTTACTATTTTTTAATGGCATAATATTCTTTTTGTCCATCTACTTGCCTTTCGTTGTGAGAACAGGTGATATTTATTACAAAAAGAGCTCATCAGTCAACTCGCAACTAATGCTGAATTATAATAATCATAGATAAAAAAATTCGTCACTGAATTAGTGGTGTTGCCATTTGTCAAAAATTGATCAGAGCGCGAATTCTAACTATTTGTCTGTTATTTTAACTCGCTATTTATGTACAATATATATCGTATAAACAAAAATGTAATCGCCTTCCATTCAGAATTCATCATTTAAACATGTCACGCGCCTTCCTTCGTTTTCATGAATATATTTACAGTACAGTAAAGCAAAAGGAAATGAAAATATTCGATCCCCGTCGAATGCAAACGTACTACAATATTTCATAATATTCTTAAATGCATAAGATCATGTGTACATCGCGGAAACAAATTCAAACCCTGATTTTATTTTCAATGATGAGCGGAGAAAGGGATACTTTGTTATTTTTCCTGCTTTCTGCTTCTACATTTTTGTTCGGGCAACAAAAAAAACCCCCCGAAAATAAGCAAAAATGAATTGTTACTTGGGCAGTTAAAAAAAAAAGAAATACTAAAATGTGGTTAGTTCGTCGTCATTTTGATGCATACTCAAAATGGTGAAGCATTAAAACTTTGAAAGCACAGGAGGATTATACTAAAGAGACGAGGAATAATTCTGAAAAATTGAGTCAGATAAACCCCGCCTTCCTAAAGTTTCAAGGGAAGATGGCGAAGCCACACAATTCCGAAATGCAATTTATCACCATCATCGAAGCTTTTAAATTGTGTTATTTATGCAATACAGTACTTTCTCCTTCGGAAAATTCAGGGGATCTGTTCATGCGAATTAAAAATAACAACGATTTCAAATAATCTCAAAATGGCGAACTCAACTAATTTGTAAATATATTCTGACTCCGATCTTAGAAAGGCACGACTTCTAAAGAACAAGCAAAATCGGGTTAGGGATGGGAGGGTAAGACGTATGGACCTTTACTCTACGAAAGGCAAACGAGGGACTTAACAGAGTCGTTTAAAACGGACAGTTTTTTGCCATTCGGCAGGAAAGGAACTTCGTGCAGCATCACGATTGTCGGAATCATGTATTCAGGTAATTTGGGCTTGAGGTGATTACGAACGCTTTCTTCATTCAGGGAATCGTCTCCCTTGCAAAAGCCGACAATCACCTGTAAAGAAAGAAGACTTGTAAAGATTCTTCCCATGCAGTAAATAAAGAATCTCCGGTGTTCACGAAATAAAGTAAAATACTGAATTCGAGTGTAGTCAAAATTTTGTTGAAAATGAGGAAAACAATGTATTGTAGATAAAAACGCCAGTAGCTTTACACTTTTAATTAATTCAGCTGCGCTCGTATATTCCAAAATTTTATCTTTTGTGAGTAGTGGAAATTGCATATTTTTGCAATTAATTTTGCTCGATAGATTATTCGACAAAGGAGAATACTGTACTTGTTTTACTTGAAGTCCAATCGAAGGAAAAACGTAAAAAGGTAATTCAAGCTTTTATTTTCAAAACTGTCAAATTCCATTTGGATTCATACACAATATACGAACAATAACACTGCAGTTATTTGATCTGATACTCGATTCGATTTGTAATAAGAATGTACATCAGAGTTGAAAATGAAAATGAAAACCCAATTTATATTCAAATAAATTCACAATAAAACCCCTTAGAAAATGCAAAAGGACTACACAAAATCAGGCGGACTCAAATTGCCTCAAATTGCGTTCCAATAACTGTATGTAGTTCTTTTACCAGGGTAAAACTTTATGTAAATCAGACGGAAGAAGATGAAATATTATATTCTAACTCACAAGATACCGTGCGACATGTCAATTTATAATTAAAAGAAAATTTGACCACCGTTAATCAAATGACGAGTCAATTCAACGCTTGACGGACGGAGTTCTACTGTTAGCCCCACAGACCATTTCGGTACTTGAAACAATGTAAAATGGGGAGGAAAGGAGTACTTGTAAACAGTACCTGGTCGGGGTGTCCTTTCCTGTGGCACAGTACGACGGCTTTTTGCAACCCGGGGCATCCCACAAAGGGACGAAGTTGGAGCCTTTCTAGGTGTGCTACTGGAGACTGGAAGTGGACTCACAGGTAAGACGGAAGTTTGTGTTACTGGGGTAGACTGGAGTAGGCACGCATTAGAGGGTAACGCATTTCGTGAGGAAATTCTGTTCATGTTACACAGGAAAAAATGGTTTTTTATATTAATCTTGCAGCATGTGCTGCTGGGGACTGTCTCACAGGGCGGAAATGAAATACAATAATCCGCCCTGTCTCCTTGAAACAAATGCTGGGGCTTATAGAAATTAAAGCCCAGCACAGAAGAACTTGCCACTGAGTAACTTCAAAACTTGTACAACAATGCTGCACATGGTCTTTGATTTTACCCTCCTTGCCCAATCAGAAAACTGCAAAGAATCCCAACCTTCACAATCAACCGCAACAAGTTTAACACAACCCTTCCTCAATGATGCATGAAAGCATGAAAAACATGAAATCAAACAGCACATGTCGAAAATTTAGATGAGGGGTGTTTAGAAACACGAGATTTGCTAGGAATCGGCAAAAGACCGATAATCCTGAAGGAATCTCGTGGGACGAGGGATGACCTCGAGTTCCCACGATCTTCCTCCCAGAAAACGCGTCCTCTAAATTCGTTACGCTAAAAAGACCTTGCGATCC